GTAGCTTGCTGGGCTCTCCAAGAGAGGCGGAGGAATCGAACCCGGCTCGGTCAGGCTGACCGAGCACAGGGCAAATGGCCTACCACTGTGCTATCGCTCCAGCCCACTCTATTGAGTAAGTACTCTAATTGCTAAAGAAATTAAGATCAAGCACAAAATGTATTTCTCAGGTCAAGGAGATGACTCAGAGGGCTCATTCACCCCCAGTCACCACCTGCTGTGACGTCCAAATAAAATTAAATGGTGGAATATGGTTTTACACCCTTTGGGGAGAGATGAATTCCCTGTGTTTTCTCTTCGTGCTGATCCACGTGCACTTGGACATTCTCAGTGAAATAGACTGGCGACCAAATTTGACAGTCAGATGAGTGGCTTTCAGTACTTGGGATATTTGAAAGGGCAAATGGGCCTGATTTATTCCCGCCTTCCCTCTCCTCTCTGCCTGAAAGAGCAGAATTCCCAGCCATCCTTGGCAAACCCAGTTAGCAGTCTCAGTCCATCCTTCCACCCTTCCCGGCTGGTGTTTCTTTTTTAACAAGGCCACATTGCTCATGAGAATCATACCAGGCCAAGGGGAGTAGCACCGCTCAGCTTTTCAGTCTCTGGAATGCTTGCCTGGCTCTGCCCTCCGGCCTTCCCAGAGAGCCAGGCTGTGTCCGCAAGCCCCGTCTCCCTCCACGTCTGGATGCCTGTCGTTGCCCCGCCATGTGCCTTGTTTCACTAGCAATAAAAACGCAGCCCAGAGATGAATGTGAGAGTGAGTTTGTTTTTGACAAGATCCCTGCAGTTGAGAAATTATGTGTTTATCTATGTGGCTGGGTGAACTCGGCTAAAATCAAAATGAACTGCCTTGCTTAATGGTGCAATAGAATGTGTTTTGAAGAGCTCCCACTGAATTCTCCTTGAAAGGACAAGAGAGGCCTTTTTTTTTTTGATAGGGAGAGTCTTGCCTCCAGCCAAACAAACACACCTGGGGGTAGGAGGTGATTCCCCCCTCCCCCCCCCCACCTTGCTCTACTTGTAGGGTGCGTGCATATATCCCCCTTCTGGGTCGTGGGGCACTACAGTGGCTGGGTGGGTGGGTGGGTGGGTGAACAGACAGATGGTGAGTTAGACTGATAAACCGTTGAATTTGTATTGCCATATGTTTCAGATGTCAAGTTTGTTGGCACCTAAAAGGGAGGAAAGTCTGGAATTGGTGTCCTTCCAAGGGGTTTTTTGCTAACCCCACCTTGCAGTTCTGTCTTTGGCCTTCATTTATTGAACAAAAACTATATCTAGGGGCTAGAGTGTTAGTATGGTAGATAGGGCCCTTGATTTGCATGTGGTGGACCCAAATTTGCTCCCTAAAATCTCTTATGGTTCCCTCAATCCCTCCAGAAGTGATTCCTGAGTGCAGAGCCAGGAGTAAGCCTTGGGCACTGCTGAGTCTAGCCCCCAAATAAAACAAATCAACACTAATAACTATCTAGTGGGACAGAGAGATAGTACAGTGGGTAAGATGCTTACCTTGCAAGCTATTGATCCTGGTTTGATTCCTGGCACTGCATATGGTTTCCTGAGCATAGCCAGGAGTGATCCCTAAGCACAAAGCCAGGAGTAAAACCTGAGCATAGCTGTGTGTATCTCCCCCCTTCCTAATAATAAATACCTTGGGGATAGAGTGATAGTATGGTGGTAGGGTACTTGCCTTACATGCAGCCTAGCCGGGGTTCAATCCCTAGCCTCTCATATGGTTCCCCGAGCACTGCCAGAAGTGTTACCTGAGTGCAGAGTCAGGAGTAACCTCTGAGCATGACTTGATATGACCCAAAGGCCAAAAAACTAATAAAAAATAATATAATAAATATTTTTAATCTAAAACATGGATTTGAATAAAATAAGAATAGCTCTTTTAAGGAACAAAGGTAAGAAGCAAACATAAAAAAGTAATTCCAGGACCACCTAACCGACCTGGGTTGGATCCCAGGCATCTCATATGGCCCCCCAATGCTTCCAGGAGTGATCCCTGAGTGCAGAGCCAAGAATAACTCCTGAGCACCATTGGGTATGGCCCCAAAAACAAACAAAAGAAGTAATTCCACAAACAATTTTTTTCTTTTTTTTTCTGCTCTTTGGGTCATACCCATATGGGATGCTGGGAATCGAACCTGGGTCGGCTGCGTGCAAGGCAAACACCCTACCCGCTGTGCTATTGCTCCAGCACACACACACACACACACACACACACACACACACACACCCCAACAATTCTTTAATTGTAATCACTGTTTGGTTTCTCTGGTATTCTTATTTGGATAGAATTCTTATAGCAAAAAATAGTCACCATTTAAAAACATACAGTTCAGGGCTGGAGAGAGTACAGCAGGCAAGATGTTTGTCTTGCATGCAGCTGACCAAGTTCCCTCTCCAGCACCTTTTATGATCCCCCAAGCACCACCAGGAGTGATCCATGAGTGCAGAGCCTGAGCCTGGGTGTGCCTGATTGGGTATAGCCCAAAAAGCAAACAAGCATAGAATTGAGTGAATTTTGTATAGGGGTCACTCCCAGCAGTGTTGGGACATGTTGACTCCCGGTGATTCTCAGCCTTTGGTCCTTGCATGCCACCACTGTTGAGCTGTACCAGAACTCAGATCCTTGCACAGGCCTGGAAGGTACTCTGGGTCTTGAGTTGTCTTCCCAGCCCTTCAGTTCCGTGGTTTTTCATATATGCATCGAGTGTTTATTGTTTAAATGATAGAGTGGAGTAACATACAATTGATTGACTGTCCTTTATGTTGGGCTGGAGCGATAGCACAGCGGTAGGGCATTCGCCTTCCAAGCGGCCAACATGGCCAACCCGAGTTCGATTCCTCCGCCCCTCTCGGAGAGCCCGGCAAGCTACCGAGAGTATTCGATATGCCAAACACAGTAACAACAAAGTCTCCAATGGAGACGTTACTGGGCCCGCTCGAGCAAATCGATGAACAACGGGAGGGCCTTTACCTTACCTTTACCTTTATGTTGTCACTGCATCGTGTGTGACCCTTGATGTCACCAATGGGAATTGGTTAAGGGAGGGGAAGAGAAGTTCAAAAGGATATTCTGGAAGTGTCTCTAAGAAAACATTCACTCCTCTGCAAACTCTCCTTTCTGCCCCTTAACTTGAACTCACTAGAAAACTTCCACAGCCCCTTAGAATCCTTTTTTCCTACGAATATGGCCAAGGAAGTCCCAAACTCAGGATTGTAGAAACTCGGAGATTAAGAAATCTCATGCTGTGTTTATTTGCTAATCCCAAAACACCAAATACAATGAAATTGCCCTGATTTGGCTCAGCTTTTTGAAGAAAGTCACTTCGCTCCTCTTATACGTATTGTTGGGCTTGAAATAGAAAACACCTTGCAGATTTTCCTGAAGAGACCCAGGTGTGAACTAGAAAGATCTGTTTGGGTTTTGGCTCTGCCCAGGTATTGCTTTGCCTATCTCTTTACTTCTGAACGTTGGAAACATGGCATAGTTTAAACCACTGAGGTCCTCAAGATAAAAACTGCTCTGGGCTTCAAAGAATGCTTCTTGGTGGCAAAGCTAACAGTTATAGACATGGTGGACTGTCAGATGTCAGGACAGAAAGTTGCAGGGGCCCTCTCCCCGCCTCCCCCGGCATAGACATCTTCAAGTGATAGCACAAGAATTGGAAAAAAGGGAGTTAGACTGCTGTGGTTTAGAGTTTTGTGACAGCCTCTTCAGATCAGAGACATTTTTGTGACAGTTTCTTCAGGACCAGAGTTTTGTGACTGTCTCTTCAGGACCAGAGAGATAGTAAAGGAGTTAAGGCCAACCCTAGTTCTACATGGTGCCATGTGGTGTCCCAAGCTCTAATAGGAGTGACCCCTGAGCATTGCTGGGTGTTCCCCAACCCCAACCCAAAGAAAGACACCAGTCGCAAAGGTGAAAACCACAGACTCAAGAGACAGTACAGCTGGCTGAGTGCTTCTCTTACACACACTGCTGACCCGGATTCAATCCCCAACACTGCCTATGAACCCCTAACTCCACCAGCAATGGTCTCAGAGCACAGAGCCAGGAGAAAGCCCTGAACACTGCCTAGGATAGTCCTAAAAAAAATTTTTTTTTTCAAAAAGTGAACTTCACCATCGGAATTACTTCAGCATGAAGATCCTCAATATCATCTTATACAGATGGTAGGCCGCTTTCCTGTCCATTCTCACTAATGCTCACTACTCACATCTGTCCTTGAAGTAGGAAGGCAATGATGCTCCTGTATTTTAAATGTACTCCCACTCCCCCCCCCCCCGCAAAAAAAAAAAAAACAGGAAAGAGACTTGCCTGGAATGGAGTGGTGTCTGTTGACTTTTCCTTCTGTTTTCTCTTAAAAACTTGTATACTGGGGTCAGAGGGATAATACACTGGGTAAGGACCTGGTCTTGCATGCAGCTAACACAGGTTTGATCTCTGACACCCTTAAGCATCATCAGGAATGATCCCTGACAATCTGAGCTCTGAGCTAGGAGTAGGTCCTGAGAGTACCACCAGCTATGCCCTGTTTCCCACCCACCCCACAAATTTCAAAAAAAGGAAAAAAAAAAAAAGCTTGCTTCCTTTCTCCCGCTGCACATTCTGGAATACTTATCCCTGTGATTTGCTAATGATATGTCAGTTCCGTTCATGGGACTTAGGTAAAACACCTGCTTGGTTAATTGCTGACATTCAAAAAATGCCATGAATTCATCTGTCAGTGAATTTTATTCACTCAGTTCCCTTCTGGTTCCGAGATTGCTGTGAGTTGGGGCTAATTGAGCTGCGTACTGTTTGCGCTGGCAAGCTGCTGGGCCTGCGGGCTGAGCAGGCGCCCGGGTGCCCCCCGAGCTGCGATCCATCCGAGACAGTCTGAGGAAAGCCTCCACTTCCTGGGGACTCACTCGGCTGGGGATGGCCACGCGGAGCGCCGGACAGGACAGCACCCAGCCCTGGACCTCATCCTCTTCTCCTTTCAAAGGTACATGACGGATGGCGGACTTGGCCTCTACACACGCCGCCTGAACCGGCTCCCCGATGGCATGGCCGTGGTGCGGGAGACGCTGCAGAGAAACACCTCCCTGGGCCTCGGAGACGCTGACAGGTAGGACACCTGCCTCCCTGCGGGGCATGGGACCGGTGTGGGGACTCACTCCAGAGTGACCAACCAGCAAGGGGGAAATGCAACTGGGAGCGCACAGCCTGCGCCTGCCGGGTGATGTGTGTTAAACTAGCTGTTGGGCACCCCAACAGTTTTCAGACCTGCCTGTGCCAGAACCTAGGCTTGGGAGAGGAAGGGCTGCGGGGGTGGGGGGGGGGGGGGCGTTGAGTCCTGCTTTGGGGAAAGGGAGTGTTTCTGAGAGCAAGAAACCAGGAAGTGCTATGATCCTGTTGCTGTTTTGACTGTTGCCACAGCATCTTTGTCGTTCAGTGACTCCGGGGATCTGCCTTATTTCCTCTCATTAGCCAGCTTTCTAGGTATTGCAGCTGGGAACTGAGTCCCTGGTGAAGTGTTGGTTCCCCGGTCCTCAGCTGAGTGGGCTTTGCCACTTAGAGTCTCTTAGTGCCTTGGAAAGGGAAGCTTAGGGGCACCGCCAGAAAGGGACCTCAATGCAGTAAGGGTGGGTTTTGCCTGCTGGACATCCAGGTTTGTTCCCATGCATCATCCCCCTAAACACCACAGCAAGTGATCCCTAAGCACAGAGCCAGGAGTAGTCCATGAGCATCAGCAGGTATGACCCAAAAATAAAACACAAAACAAAACCCAGAAAAAGGGATACAGATTTTTATACATTGGACAATAGACAACAGAGGTGTTGATTGGCCTCCTTGCAGCTGCTGCTGGAGATGGAAAAGCTTCCAAGCTTCCAGAGGGGTTTGAGCCAACATTGTACAACAGGTAGGGTATTTGCCTTACACACGGCTGACCAGGGTTCGATCCCAGGTACCTCATCTGGTTCCCCTGAACCCTGCGAGGGTTAATCCCTGAGCACAACCAGGTGTGGCCCAAAAAGAAAAAAAAAAAAAAAGGAAAAGAAAATACTTCAAAAAAATATTCCAGCAAAGAAAGCAAAATGCAGGCTAGGGAGATGGCTTAAAGGGCTGAAACATAGGCTGACCATCAGGGGTGGACCTCTTCTGCCCCACTTAAAAGAAGAAAGCAGAATATTTGGCCTCCCCATCCTTATTTAGACACCAACAGATGCTAGGAGTCAGCAACCAAATGAAGGTGTCAGGGTTCTGATTTCAAAGTTCCCTTTTGTGGGATATATATATATATATATATATATATATATATATACGTTCGTGTGTGTATATATATATATATATTTTGAGGGCAGAGGTGTTTGGGCCACACCTGTCTGTGCCTAGGGTTTCACCTCTTGCTCTGTGTTCAGTGGCCACTCCTGGGGGGACTTGGGGAAACAGATGTGATCCCAGTGCTCAAGCCCAGGTTGGTCGCATGCAAGGCAAGCACCCAATCCGCTTACTACCTCTTTGGTCCCATTCTACATCTATTGATTTCTTCTTTGTTTGGGGTTGTGTTCAGACTTCAGGGACAGGAGGCACACTTTGCAGTGCTAGGGGCAGATGCCAGATTGGTTCTGAGGGTCCCAGTGGAGCTCAGGGTGTCACTGACAATCAAACCCAGGCCTTTTGCACGCAAAGCCTGTGCTCAGAATGCAAAGCATCTGACCTCTCTCCTGGGTGCTTCCACACTTCTCAACTTCATGGTTTGTTCATGATCTGACCGTCCAAGGGTTTTTGGTACACACTGCGCCTTTTGCACGACTGGGTTGATGAGACGTAACCGAGCATGATATGTTAGGAGCTTGAAATCACTGTGTTCCCTGAAGGCAGCAGCCTCTGTGTCAGAGTGGAAGCTATTTCTGGCAGAGTTCGGCGGCCTGCCGTTCTCTTTGCAGGACTTGGCTTTCCACAAAGGGAGCAGTGACTTCTATTTAGTCCCCCAGCTTCCAAGAACCAGGGTAGCATACTAAAGAGACAGACACTCAAGCTGCCCCAGCCATGGAATTTGCTGCATTCTCTCCTCTGGGAAGACTAAAAAGCTTGCACGGGGATAGGAAGCACTGAATTGGTAGCAGGAACTGGGGAGGTCTGGCCCAGATGTCCCCACTCACTTGACGTGTCCTTCTCAGAGTGCCCTGTGGTCCAGAGTGGCCATTTATATCAGAGGTCTAAACGTAAGGCCTTTCTCAGCAAATGGACTTTGATCTTGTTCACATAATTAAAAGAAAAAAATTAATACTGCTCTGAAAACTCCATCGAAAGAGTTATTTGAGAACTGCTCTTTCGAAGGGGAAAACACTCTGTCACAAACATCTTTAGAGCAAGTATTATCAGAGGAGTTAAAAAAAAAAAAACAAGTGTTGCAACAGCCCCACTGGAGATTTCACAGTTCACCAAATTATTTTGCTTATTTGTGTTCTCAGTAAACATGTTGTTGGTTGGTAAAGTATATTAGCGCAAGAGGCAAGCCTTACAAAGTACTCTTCCCCGGTAGCAAAGGCAGGCTCTGCTCTCGGCAGTTTAATTTAATGCTTCATTGCAGGGTTAATGGAATTACTATAGATCACAGCTGCGTCTGTTTCTGTCTGGAAAGACGGCAGATTTTGAGCATGGTGGAAGGATGGAGCACAAGTGTGAGGTTGCTCCATTTCAGCCTGGACGGTGGAGCCAAGTGGACAACAGTGTCCTCTAGTTCTCCGGAGCTGTGGCCATTTGAGACTGAATGGATCTATTGACCAACTTTTAAAGAAATAGTGTGGGTGGCTTTCAGAACACAGGGATTTAATAATGCTTATAAATTTCCTCTTTTATGTAGGCAGTGACCTCTAGGCAATGACATAGTTTGCATTGTTTTGTAGAATGTTCAGTGTCTTCAATCACAAAGCTATTATAAACAATTAAATGCTTCCTCTTTGGCTAAGTTGAAATAACAGTAGGTTTTGTGCCTATATGGTTTATCACGTAAATCTCTTCCCCAAATTACGTTCTAGGTGGTTCTAGATGAGTGTTTCCCACGGTGAAAGATTAGCAACAGTAACATAGGAAATAATTTGAGTTGGTGAATAATTTGAGACAGGAGACTATTTCTGCTTTACATTTCAGTTTTACCATTTGTTTTTTTAAATCTTAGAACTAATGTATCAAGTCTTTAAATTTACAAGTATTTCTTAGGGTAAGTATTAGTCCAGACTAAAGCTATTTAATTAAAATTATCAAAGAATATCACAGATTGTATGTGGAGATATTTTTAAAATGTAGTAAGGGAGACAGGAGATAGTACCATGGTTAAGGCAAAAGTAGTTGTTTTTCTTTTGTTCTTTGGTTTTTTTTTTTTCTTTTTTGGGTCACACCCAGCAATGCACAGGGATTACTCCTGGCTTTGCATTCAGGAATTACTCCTGGTGGTTTGATTCCTGCCACTATGTGGCTGCCGGAGCATTGCAGCCTTGGATGCTGTCAATGCTACAATCTGTGATCCCAGAGACCCCAGCACCACTGAGGTAGCCCAAGAGAGCCTGGCACTGTAGGGCCTAGCAGTCCCACATCCTTAGATCTTTGTACACAGCCAATGCTAAGGCTGGCCTTGAATCATCGGTGGGGTCTGTGGACCCCCTAAGCACTTCTTAGGACTCATCTCTCTCTCTCCTCAACACCTCCAACTCCCCCCCCCAACACACACCCAAAGAAAAAGGTGTTCTGTATATGACTACCAATTAGGTAGCCTATTTGTCCCTATAATTGGACTATATTCTTTTTATTGTGGGGAGTTGGAGCCACACTTTGCAGTGCTGAGGGCCTGTGCCTGGCTCTCTGCTCAGGGGTCACTGCTGGTGTTGGTCTGGGGTGTCTGCAGTGCCAGACATTTGAGCCAGGACCATTACATGTAAGGCAAGGGCGTTAACCCCAGTGCTATTTCTCCAGCCCTTCATTGGACTATATTCCCCGACCCCACCCCTCACCCCTTTACTTCTCACCTTCCATCCCACTGTCGATGTTGCGGAAATAGCCACACATGCTGGGTTGTGTTGGTTGTGGTGCATGAACATCTGGCTATGGGGCTTTTTGGGTGGTGGGCATGCTGGACACTCTTTGGTTGTGGTACTTGCACTTGTGCTTGCTTGGGCAGGGATGTTCATCTCCATGAGGATGCTTATGCATCTTGTTAGTTGGGGCGCTCACACACACCTGGCTGCATAGTGCCAGAGGTCACCAGAGGCATCGCGGATAACAGAGAGCAGAGCTGTCAGGACCAGTTTGCCTATGAGAGCAGCACCGGGCATTGAACTCATGGCTTCATGCTTACATGACAGATGCGTTAGTTGCTCAGCCATCTCCTGGCCCTTTCAGCTCTTTAATTTAGACTGGAAGTCTAGACAATTCAGTGGTTTCTGAAGTCTACATGTGAAACCTGCAATGATATCATGCATTCCATGGTGCTACCTTAGGAAAGTAGACGTGCCTAAGTGCAGGTATTTCAGTACTAGTAGGTGAAAGTCCGGGCAGTATTTTTTTCCCCTTTGTATTTTGACAAATTTTATCTGTGCAGATGGAATGTTAGCATGTTGGTGAAAGAAAATATGATGTGGGTCCTTCTCTAGAAGGCTTCATCAGTTTCTACCATGTCTGAGGAGACTTCAGGGATCCCAGTATTTGTTTTAGAACACGTATCTTTGACTGTGTATTTAAGTGTCGTACATTCAGAATTCAAACACAATTTAAAAAAAAGTTGGGTCTGAAGAAATCATACAGAGGTAAAGGCACTTGCCTTGCATGTGGTTGACTGAGAATCAATTCCTGAGACCATATATGGCTACCTGAGCATGGATTCCAGAGCACAGAACTAGTATTAAAACTATGGCTCAAGAAAACACAACACACACACATATATATATATATATGTATATATATATATAAACTAAGGACCAGAGCAGCAGCACAAAGGTTAAGGAACTTGCCTTGTGTGTGGCTGTGCCACAATAGTGGCTCAAATGCCTCACTACTTATGGTCCCCAGAGCACACCAGGTGGACCCCCTCGAGCACTGCTGGGTGTGACCCCAAAAGAAACAGAAAAA